AGATCATTTGGAATTTCTTAGGCCCTATCATAGAGATGAGTAGACTCAAATGGAGATTATGAAAGAAAACCTGGTATGTTAATTGAAGGGTGTCTTTATGAGTGGGTATATCAGAAGGTAGGTGGATATTAAAGAAATAAATGTGTCAAGAGCTCCTCTGTTGCTGTTTTATAATTTATGTGACCATTGGTCATTAGTTAGTTCTGTAACTGGATACACAGAATGAGTGAGCTTGAAAGGCTGAGTCTCACTGTGGTCCAGCAGCCCTGCCACCGGGTGCTAGAGTGACCTCTCAACTCACTGCTCCCCAGATACAGGTTCCAAAGCCTCTGAGATTTGCTGCTTTCTCAAGTGCTGACTTGTTTTGACAAGATGGCTTCTCTAACATCTCCACACAGGTCTAGGCCTACTCTGTGACTCACTACAAGTATTCATAAGCACTGAATTCAGTCATCAAAATTTCTATAGATCCTTCCTTTGAGGGTAAATAGTGAGCTGTATACCTACTAAAAATGAGGACGCGAGTTCATAGCAGACCCAAGAGAGCTGCCAGAGTCCATTTCGGGGTACCACCTGAAGACTGGCTTGCTTTCGCCAACAGTGGACAGCCTGCAAGAGAGGCAACAGGACTGTTGTAGGTAGGTGTGGTTTGGCCCAAGTTCTGGCAGCAAAGTTGGCATGTACCAGTGAATAAAACCTATGATCATCCTTAAGTCTAATTCTAGCTTCCCATTAGGAAAGCAAAATGCATTGTTTTTTAGCTTGGAAAGCTGATCTCCCTACTTTTCATCTCCTCTGTTCCATGCCATCAGTGTCACAATAACAGTCCTCTGCCATCCAGGGTATAGCCAGCATCTTGCTTACTAAATAAAAAAGAAAAGAAAATCTCCCTGGCTTTCCTTGTTAACTGCATGCAGACACTTGCCTCTGTCTCTTCTATGTAGCTTCATTTTTCTCTCACTTGTTAAAATCATGGTGCTAGCCCACTTTCTGTAAGAGCCCCAGTAGCTCTCTCTGTGCCAAGAGCCTTCTCCATCTTGCTGCTTCCCCTTCCCACCTCCAGGCCTGGTAAGGTAAGGCCTTCATAGTAAGGAAGTATTTTTATCACTGACCTGGATAATATTGGTTCATTTGCGCCCCCACGCCTCGTTGAGAACCACAGATAGATGAAGAGACTAGGAAGCTCGCCATCTTGTTAAAGACCAAAACCTTCTAGGTAGAAACATCCAATTCCAGCCCCCAATCTTTAACATCACTATCAGTAGAAGTGCCTTTACAAAAAATGTAATCCATTTCTGGACTAAGATAGTGTGTGGGCCAGCTACAGAGTTACTTTAGGTACAGAACACAAGACAGAGTTTTCCTGGGAAATAAAGTACAACCATATTTTCCAGCATATTTGGGCTTGTAAGTGGCATTGCCTCCAACTTCTAGATAACGATTTTTTTTCTCTCCGGAATAGTGAGAGTATACGTAAGGTTGAAGGATAGGGGAGATGGTGGGCACTGGTCTTTTGTTCTGTATACTTATATCATCAATAACTGTCATATATATATA